CAAGACCTTGGTGTGTGGGTTGACACAAGCTCTCTTGCAACCGGCGTATCGATAGTTCACAATGGAGCCATGGTGGAAGATGCTTGCTGGTTACGTCCAGAAAAGGACTCCCAGCACATAAACCTAGCGGAGCTCGATGCTTTCATCAAGGGGATCAACTTGGCGATCCTCTGGAAGTCGACCACCCTGCGCCTGTTCACAGATTCCGCTTTGCGTCTATAAGTGGATCTCGGATACCCTTACCGGGAGGGCCAGGTGCGGACTAAAGCCACCAGCGAGATGCTTATCCGACAACGGCTCGACACGATCGTGAAGCTGGTGCAAGAAAATGCACTGACAATGGAGGTGTCTCTGGTCAAATCTAGCCTCAACAAGACAGATTGTTTAACGAGGGTGCCCCAAAGGTGGCTTGACGCCACTAAGAAAGCTATTGAGCCCGTGCAACCCGCCTGCGCTGCGTCCGTGAGTCCCATTCGATCTAATCAAATCAAAGAAGTCCCCCAACAAAGTGGGCACCCTGGAGTCAAGCGGACCCTGTATTTCGCCAAGTTGGTTGACCCAGGAGTACAAAAGACAGACGTCAGGAGAGTGGTCAGAAGCTGCGTGGCGTGCCAGTCTATAGACCTAGCACCTGTTCGCTGGAAGAAAGGGCAGCTGAGCGTGAGGAGCCACTGGAGCCGGCTGGCGATAGACGTTACTCACCACAACGGCGAGGATTTCCTGATGCTCATTGATTGCGGTCCATCTAGGTTTGCGATATGGCAGCTGCTGCATCGGCAAGATGCAGCTACCATCATCCGTCAGTTAAACAGTATCTTCCTTGAACGTGGCCCCCCCCAACGGGGATATTAACCGACAATGGCACCGCATTCACCAGTGAGCAGTTCAGGAAGTTTGTGGATGGCTGGGGAGTGCACCTACGGTTCCTGTGCGCCCACGTACCAAGTGGAAATGGGATCATCGAGCGGAACCACAGGACCATCAAGACCATCGCAGCCAGGACGGGCTGCGCTGTGTCTGAGGCGGTCTACTTGTACAACGTGACCCCGAGGGATGATGTCTCACCCTCTACGGCGCCAGCCAACACATTGCATAGGTACCACGTCAGAGTGAAGGGCATAGAGACCATCCCACTTCCCGAACTGAAAGTAACCGGAGAGAGGCTGAAGAAAGGAGATGTCTTCTGGATTAAGGACCCGCACAGCAAGTGTACGACGAAATACAGAACCAGACATGTCACTGAGGTGATCAGCCCGCAAGCGGTGCGGGTCGACAGTGTGCCCTGTCACGTTAAGGACCTGTGGCCGGTGACGCAGTTGCAACCACCGCTGGAGGACGAGAGCGAATCGGAATTTGAGACCAGTGAGGCATCGCTCTGGTTCACGCCAGCTCCATAAGGCAGTGACTCAGGGGACGTGGTGTTTTTCGACCCTCAGACCGCAGACGGGAGCACAAGCGACGATGAGGCTCGCAGTGTCCCTCTTCGAAGAAGCACCCGGCGAAAGCGATCGCCGCCTCCCTGCCAACACTGTGATCATGAGATCAGGGGGGAGTGTGGGGAAAATAGAAACGGCTTACCTCCCAACGTCCTCACATCTGTCTGGCCTGTGGGTTGAGAACAGAAAGAAAGGGTCCAAGATGGCGTCCATGACTTTTTAATATTCATGGTCTCATGCAGTCTCATGCAGTCTCGCGTTACACGCATGCTAATGAGATGTGTCTGGGCTCCATAAAAGCAGGTCGCTTGGAGAAATTGGCAGAAACCGTTACACATGTGTTCGGTATACATTGCTTTGCTTTGCGTCATGTCAGACATTTTCCTACGGAAAGAGTTGCGTCCCTTACACTCCATATTGAATTTGACTCCTTTGCAAGTTTCTGTTATTTACAGTCAGGGTAATATCTTTATTGCTTCTATCACAACTTTTCGAATATCGTAACCTCCAGGTTTCTTCAGGCACCTGTCATTCCAGATAACCTTAAGTACATTTTAAACTGAACCTTTTATTAAATCTATGGAGATATATTGTTCTCATTCTACTCTCCCTGTCTAGAGATATCTCATCTTGATTAATTGCACTTTAAACTTTCCCAATTATTGCTAATCTTGTTTACATTGAATCTGAATCTACTACTTAACACATATAATCACTCATTGAAAATGAAACAAGCAATAACTGATGAGATATCCCTAGATATGGGGAGAAGAATAAGAACAATAAAACTCTATAGATTTAATAAACAGTTCGGTTCCAAATTCCACACTGCATCTTGATTAATTATCTTTAAATAATAACAAAGGCAGAAATGATGGTAATAAAGATGCAAACATTAATCTGATTGTAAATATCTCCTTATCTCAGAAATTCAGGCAGTAATTTTTTAATTAGTATGTGTGTGTGTGTGTGTGTATGTATGTATGTATGTATGTATATATATATATATATATTTATATATTTATGATAGTGTTCTTGGCACATTGTATCTGTTATTTATTATCAATCTCTCATTATGTTGATATTTTGTTAAGAGAAAAATTTTAACAAAGATAAACACATGTATATCTGTATTTCAGATTAACTCATCTGTTGAGATTTAGAGTCATTGATCTGAAGAACATGTAAATCAATGGTAATCTTTAAAAAGAAAATAATTTGAATGAGTTTCAGGTAACCTTGAAAACTATATATGTCCTGGGTATGATGATAAACTACATCTGGCAGCAAGGCCTCTAATCGGGAGATTGGAGGTTTTAAGGAGTGTGGAGCCACCTCTTAACTGCTGTTGTTCCCAGCTCCACCTTGACCCAGGGTGGTAGCACCTGTTGGGGCCCCAGCTATGGGCAAATAGTGAACCCCCCAAACACTATAAAAGTATAAAAATACCAGCAATACATTATTATATATAAAATAAATTACCAACAATACATATTCATAGTAGAATTACCAACAATAAATTTTATAGCAAAATGACCAACAATACATTTTATCTGTAGTTGAAACCATAAAATTGTGTTCAAAATATTTAGATTCCAGACTTAAATAACTGCTAGTCAAACTCTTTTAGGACATTAATCCATATAAAAGTCCTACAATTTATTTTTAATGAAAAAGTTCATTACAATTTATCTTGATGTAAATTTATATAATTCTATATTTTTCCTCAAAATTGTTAATATAGTATTCACTCACAAAAAGAAATATTAAGCATCTCAAAAATATATTTTAGCTTTACATAACTCACAAAGGGTTGATAAACCATAAAACAAATCAGAAACAAACAAAAATAGGTATAGAAACAAAATTACTTCAAAATAAAAGTTCCCTTTTGAATTTAGCAATCTTTTCTCTACAAGAGACGAGCATACATTTTGATTGCTTGTGTTGAATAGTAATTTAAGCATTTGACATGTCTGAATCAGATTAGATTCAACACAATTCTTCAGTTAGTCATCATTAATGCTCACTGGTCATTTTTTACAAGGTGCATGTTTGAATAAATCATTTCTAACTGAAAATCTCCTGAAGCACTTTTGAGCAAAATATATATAACCTAATCTAACCTAGCCATGTATATATTCTCAGGTTGTTGCTGCTGGTTTTATTCAAAGTTGAAATTTATACAGTAGAGAAAATCTCTTAATCAACTTTCTGGCCATCTGATTGATTTCACTTGTTATTTCTATAGGTATATAGAATGTGCATATTATGGTTGTTCATCCAATGCTTATGGATGTTATTCTTCCACTTGGTTTGGAAGACAAAACCATTTCCATAATATGTGCTGTCTAACTCCAATATTAATACAAAGTCCTTTGATTTTGGTTTCTTGGAGAGAACATATATCAATGTCATGGGCCAATAGTTCCTGCTTTTCTTTTTTCACAATTTCTCTACCATCAAATGCCCCAATTGTAAAATTTTCATATGCAATTGGAGGCATTTGCAAAGTTTTAAAGAATTAGATTTCCAACTGTTGATAATCATAGTTGTCATTACCTTGTCTGCCTATAACTGATGTAATATAGATCAATAATATATAATATGCATCATATATTTTATATCTTATATAATATATATGTATTATTACAAGTATAGAATTTCAACACCATAGAAGTAAACAACGAAACAAACGTTTATGAATCTACTTTTGTCCTTGACTTGAATATTGGTACTACATCTGGTCTAGTACTCCTGCTATATATTTAGGGATCCTTGATAAAATCCAAAGAAGAATCTGCAATGTTATTGGTCTTGACCTGACATCTCAGTTTTAGTCACTTTTCCACTGCCATAATGTAACTATCCTTTGCCTTTTCTGTAAATACTTTCATGATAATTGTTCTGACGAATTTTCCTCTATTGTACCTTGCTTACTACTAGATTGCAGCAAAGTCTCATTATTTTATAGCTGAAATGGCTAGATGTAAGTGTAAGTTCTATGTTAATAGTTTCTTCTTTTACCTTAATTCTTCTTTTATTGTTCTCTCTTTTTAATAATGTTTTTTTTTTTCATATTCTTTAACACTCAGTAACCACTTGAATCTTGGTGGCTTTTTGCCTATGGTGAAATGATAAAAAAAAAAAAAGAAAAAAAAAGCATACTTTCTATAGATTATTTGGTACTAAATGTATATAGATATCATGTTATTAAAAATGCTTATGAACTATTGCCATTCGAAGGGTTAAATTTTTTTTTTTTTTTTTTTTCAAACAGATAAACAAGAAAACATCTGAACCCACACAAACATTTTTGTCATCTGATATTTTGTTTAATTTACAAAAATATTCACTTCATAAAATGTTCTTTCTTTTTAATTTTTATTTCTGTTTATTTGTTTCTAATTTTGCTATTTACTGTTATTGTCTGGACAAGTTTCATTTTCTGCTTTTCTTTGTACTCTTCAGGTTGTCAGCCAATGTAATGTTGCTGAGATCTGTCCAGGAAATAAGTGAATGAAGCAGATACCTTTTCATACTGCTTAAAAACTGCACCTCTAAATGGCGTCCCAAAATAAAAAAAAGGCAGAATACAAAAATCAAAGGTAAGTAACATTATTTCATGTCTCCTGTTTTGTCTCTCTGTAAACATTCTGATAAAGCAATACACAAAATTGTGGCATGGATACATTGGTCTTTATAAATGTGTATTTGTACACAGATGCTTTTTGAGTTCATGCCTTTCATACGGATGCTTTTGCAAAATAATGACTTACAGCCAAATCACTTTGAAGCACGAGTTCCCATACAAAGTTAAGCAATGTCAAGCCTGATCAGTACCTAAATGGGTAACCACTAGGTAATACCAGGTATGTAAGCTTGGATGTGCAGGTGATGTAATGGATAATGGCTTTAACCATTATTCTTCCCTTCTATGAGAAAATATCAACTTAAAAACATGATAAATTGTTAGGGTACCTCCAGTCATCTGCTCACTCTTTAAGGCTGGAAGCACCCAAATGTGCCTGTAAGTTTCGTACACCTACAGTCTGGGAGTGCCTGCATGTGTCTACAAGTGTGCAGCAATGTATTTTAATACACAGCATTAGCACCTATCATATGATCAACTAGAAGCAATGGAAATCTACAACTTTGTAAAATTTACAAAACTATATCTCACGATAAATAGTATCAACTGAGGAAATATTCATAAATCATAACTTTATTGGCACTAATCCATGTAGCAGGGTCTTTGAAATCCCTGTTCTTTCATCCTCAATAGCAGACAAGAGGATCTTACTTGTAAGTCTTTTTATTGCTTGGTAATTTTTTTCTGGTTAATTGCCATAACCTCATACAAATGAACTTTAAAACTTATAAAATTTAATCAGCTTCAAAAAGTATATTTAGTGTCTAAATAAAGAAAGAACTTAGGATAAGGAACAAAAAAACATTTTCTTAAAAAAAAAAAATAAGATTTTCACTTTGGAGTGGATTTGATTAATAAGTTATAAAAAGTTTTAGTAAACTACAACCCAAAAAGAAACCCAACCTTGACAGAAAATTTAAATAGCTCAGTATTAATTATCTGTCCTAAATAAGGGTTTGTAGGCTTCTCTAAAATTAGTTTCAGCCAATCAATTTAAGCAAGTATTGCCACTCGTGCACTGTTGTGTATTACTAACTGTAAAGAAAAATGTCTACCAGTTGGACTTTTTGACATGGGGGGGGGGGAATTGCATAACTTTGAATGAGGAGGGGTCATATAAACAAAGGAATTACGGATAGCAGTGATCAATAATAAAAGGTGAGAAGAAATCTCTAACAACACTTAAATTTTTCTGAGCCTCTGTATGATTGAAATGGATATTAAGGGCACTTAAAATTAAGATAGGAAGGAATAAAAAGAAAAAAAAACTATTTTGCCATGACCAGTTGTTCTGTTTCAGTGGTTGAAGTGAAGACAGGAAGTAAGCATATAAAAACTGATATACAGTGATTATAATAATCAGTAGACTTCATATGATAAGAGCATATTAATGATGTGCAGATAAGTAAATTAGGTTTCAGTATCTGCTGAATAGAGAAATCAATCTATTCATTCAGCCTGAGTGCTGGAATTGATAGAATAATGTTCTCTTTGACGCTTTGTATAAAAAAAAATCAAAATGTCTCATTATAAATTAGTCATTTTTACTTGGAAATTCATCAGTTTTACACTCTTCAAAAATCTTCTTTTTTTTTTTAATGACATTTAACAAAAATACTTGTTATTTTATTCGTGTATCATTTTGATGATTGCATAAAAGTAGCTAAAATTCATCATAATTTCCCAATTCTATTAGTAAAACTAGCATTAGATACTAACCCCTAACAATCTATTCCTAACACTGGTTCCCTTATGATCACCAAAGTTAAGCAACATTGAGCCTGCTCAGTAACTAGATGGGTGACTGCTTGGAAATATCAGGTTCTCGTGGATGTGTGGGTGGTGCAATGGATAATGGCTCAGAATTGTTAATCAGAGAGCAGTTCCAATTTCAGTTGGATTCATTATATTCACTTATGCACAAATACTCTCGGAAAGGTATGAATCCACCCTTTCTCCCCCCAACTATGAGTTAATTAGTAAGACTTGTATCACTAAAATATTATTATCTAAAAAAAAAAAATTCTTACAATATAAAAATATTTTCTAGCTTTATATAACCCACAAAGGATTGATAAGCTGTAAAAATGGAACAACCAATAATCAATTACTTCTTGATTTACAATGTAAAAGAAATTAACATTCCATGTTTTGTTTGGACACTGTATCACCTTTACATTCGAAAAACATTTTCAACAATCTATTCAGCCTCAATGGCTTTTCTAAGCTTTTCCACAGTGGTTTAATTGAGCTCTTCTTGAATAAGTTTTCCTCCTTTGACTATGATTTCAGGAATGCAGACTGTGGCGTGTTTGATGGCCTTGTAACCAAAGCTTGCTGAATGTTCTCTGAGAGTTGAAGCTATTTGCAAAGCAACAAGATGTTTGTTTGGCCATGTTGTAAGCCACTTTAAAAGTGCCTGCAGATTTTTCACACTTTAATCATACTTGTTCAGTGTGTTATGCTTAGAATTGATGACTGTTTTTGTGCATATTCTTGTCAAAAGTCATAACTGCAGCACTGTATAGGATTCTCCAAAATCTTTAAATATATTTTTCCCATTATTATCCTTTGCTCTTTCATGAGTTGCATTTTCACTTCTTGGCTCTATAAACATGATGTGGAAGAGCCCATCATTGTTGTTAAAAACACTGACACCCAGTGATGAAGGCGGGGGGGCTTGAAAACTAAATCATGCAGGCCAAGGAGGTGAGTGAGGCAGTGGAACTCTCTTTCCCCCCACCCTCGTAAAATTATTTACACTCCCTATGAATATGTTATGAACTAATTTTAATGCGAGAAAATGCACTTCTACCAATAGACCATGTTTCGGACTTGATAACACCTTTCCACTGGACTTGATATCCCCATCATTATTTATACCATGTTGATGAGACTGCATTGATGATGGTTATTGGCTATGAGAAAAATCTGAGAAAATAATGAAACATACAAATTATGAGATATTTACAATTTATATTGTACAAAAATTATTTATCCTGGAAAAAATGTAAGGCCTGCATTGCATACACAGACCAATATCGCCAATGCAAGGGAGATAACTCTTGTTACCAACATTACATAAAAAAAATATGCAAATATACTTTATATATTACATATAGATAAATTTGTCTATGTCAAAGCTAAGGGACAATACATGGCATCTTAGAAAATATGTATGGGTGCTGAAATTTCTTTCACCAAGAAGGCCTTTGAAAAATAATGCTGATGTATGGTCAGAGTTTGGGAAGTGGGTCAAGTCAATAACTTTTAAGAAATCCTTTCTATATCAATAGATATTTATAGGTGCTTGTAAAACTATCTAAGAATAATGACAGTTAAGTTTTTTATTTAGAATGCTAAAATCGTATGCATATTTTGAGATGGGAATTATCAAAACTTACATTAGTTTATCAAAAAGATTTATAATAATTGTGTAATTCATAAGAATCACATTTAATGACAATTTTTTTTTTTTTTTTTTTTTCATTTCATGCCAATCAAAGCAATAAAGCCACTAAGACACAAGGGGTTACTGAGTGTCAGAGACTATAAGAAAAAATAATACAATTAAGGAGAGAGAACAATAACAGAAGAGGAATTAAGAAGACAGAAGATAATGATTGACATTGCATTTAAATTTTTGAAAATCAAAGTTGACTGGAAAGCAAGAGGCCGGAAGAAATTGCCACAATGAAGAAGTGCAATAGAAGAAACTGTTAGTATAGAACTTACAGTTGCATCTAACAATTTAAACTCTAACAACTTACTTTTGTTTATCTTATGTAACACACTATTACGCAGTTGCCAGTAGTCATAAGATCCAAACTTGTTAGTCTATACAGTGTGTCATTCTATCAGCAAATAAAGACTTCGCCTCTTTGAAGACACATTTCCAATTATTGCAAACAGTCACAAATAGGTAACTGTTATGATTGGAACTATCATGCTGCTACACCCAGAAAAAGTGAATTCCTGTGGGCTATAGCCACTGAACAGGTCAGTGTGAACTAAGGAAAAGATAAGATTGCAAAACTTCATTGTTAATCATCATTTTAAAATGTTCTTCCTCTCTTTTCATTTTTATATTATTATGACTATCTCTTTCCTGTAATTATGATTATGTTTGCATATATATGTCATACAATAATGTATCAACTATTAGGGGCCATAGGTAAATATTTTTTTTTAAGAGTGGTTTGAGCAACACATTCTGTTCACTATCAGCAGGTGTTGTGCAAAGAGAAATCATTAAAACTTTTTCAATATATATATATATATATATATATATATATATATATATATATATATATATATATATATATATATATATCTTTTTTTTACCTCCAGCCTGGCTAACTATATTTAGTATATTAATTTGAACTGGACTTGAATAACTATTGTTACCTGTTTGCTCTTCCTTGACCTTTTCTTCCTGTTTGCCCATACTACCCCACCCCTATTCTCTGCTCCCTCCTCCCCCACGCACATTACAATAACAAATGAAGGTCTTCTTCACAATAAGAACACTGACCTTTGCTTATTCACTGAAGACAAGTGCAAACTATTAATCAACTTCATTGTATTCTCAAACAGTATGCTGGTTATTTTTTCTTTTTATACTCTGGATCACTCGCCAAGTATTTTGTATTTGTGCTTATTTTGTGGCTTAGCTGTTCAAGGTGGATTTTTACCTTGGGGGAACAAGGCAAGAACAGGTATTTGACCAGCCCATTCATTATATCTGATTTTGAATATATTTTTACAGCCGATTTACATTTAATATTAACCGACTTTTTCTTTTCTAATTTTCCATATTATGATCAGGACTTTTTACTGGACAATCTAGAAAATGATAACATTAACACCTGTTCACTCTGTGCGAATCTGTGTCTGTGTGTGAGATAAGAAGAGATGTTAGTAAACTTAAAGCTAATATGGATCCCAAGCAAATCATTATCTTTGTACGAGATTGTGATAAAGTTGAAATTCAGTTTCTATTTCATCAGTACTTGGCTTCATACAAAAATATTTTTCTGACTTTATCTTTTTCAATACTGTAAAGAGGCTTTACCATTTAAGAAATAATATCACACTTAAAGACTTTTTCTTATCACTTCCAACAATGTCTTGCTAGGAATCTTTGCAAGCAATCATTTTATGTATACAGTTTATACTAAAATGCATTTTATTATTCTGATATCTTTTATTATGAAATTCAATTTATTGATTTTTTTTGTGTTCCTTTCATTAATAAAACAAGTTAGTAACAGGATTTGTGCAGCTTTTACTCTCAGCTGTTTCTAGAGACTAGGACATGTTTTTGTTTTTCACACTCTATATTTGAAAAGTCAACAGGTGGTGGCAAAAATATAACTGAATTAAAGAACTATAAATAGAATGAATATTTATAATCTCGGAGTTTAATGTTAAATACTTATTTGTTTTTTGTTGTGCCATAAAATTGGTTTCTAACATTTAATCAATGAAACAAATTACTTTTGCAACTCTTCTGAAAGATTCTTTTGTTTTTTGTTTAGCTGAGTTTCCTCATTATTATGTTATGAAAAAATTTAATCTGTTGAAAATTGGTAAATGACTGTCAAATCATAAAGTTTACAAATTTCAATCTGTTAGCCTATCGTTATCAGCAACCACCCACATTCCTATTCTTCCTCCTGATTGGCAGTGGTGGAGATGGCTGTGAATCAAAGATAGTCTGACAAGCCATTCACATGAATTTGATTATGCTGGACAACAAAGGTGCCCACAAACTAGGCCAGATGCAATTCCCTGCAGCTGAAAGGGAATTGAGACAGGCAAGATCTGGCAAACCTGCTTGTATTGGGCTGTCAAGGTCTGCCTTTGTTATCCCAGCCAGACTGGCATTGCCCTCTGTCAGGTGTCCAGAAATTGATGTCGCTTTCTTTCAGCAATACGTCTCACCAAAGCCTAGAAGAGCAGTCGTCCCAAGTCCGCTCACCTGGTTTTTAACAGGTAGCGTTGTTCTTTTATGCAAATAAGCCTGCTGCGTAAAAATGGCAGCAGACATACGCGCAACCGACTCTCAGAGAATGGTTCAACACGCGAGGCAGCAAATTTGTTTTGCCTCCTGGTAAGTCACTGTCACGTCTATTACACCATTGTTTTCATTAACCATTTCATTTTGTTTTAGCATTTCCACCAGTTTGGACATTGAGATCATTTAGTTCTTTGCCTGTTCTGCCACTGGAGTCTTTGAGTGTTGGTTGCATTCAGTCTGGTCCTTCTTCTTCAACCTTACCACCGTGGGTGGCCCCACAGGATTTGGAACTCCAGACATCTTTGCTCTTGTGATCACTGGGACAAGCCCTTTACCATGACAAGGAACAACCATATATATTTAGCACTAGATATTAGAGTGAACAGTTCGTTATCAAATGTAGCAATTATTACTTTAATGATGATAATAAAAGAAAATCAATAAATAAGAATAAAATAAAAGTATAAAATTATCATTAAATATATGAAAACACTTTTTATTATTGTTGTTACTAAAAATAAATATTTGAGAGTTATTAATAAAGGAAGAAATTCACTACTGAACTGATAAAAAAAAAAAATAACATTAAAATTCAAAATGCTTTTCCTACAAATTTGAAAATACATTCCCATCCATAATGTAAATAATTCATGTCTTTCAATGCCTAAAATATAGCCAGTCTTTTTAGTTTATACTTAAGATTTCATTTATCATGCACATAAGAACCATCATTCTCTCTCAAAATCTAACGGTCTTTCTTTTTCCAAATTACCACCATGATAGGCGATAACACTTCTTTAT